GCACAGATTTCTGAACCTGTCAATGAAAGTAGGTACAGTTATGAGTGAAACTCTTAAAAATGTCATCAGAGTTAATGAAACCATAAGTTGGACATAACTGAAGAAGGTAACAAAAAAGTGCAAAGGATGTCAACAATGAAGTTTATCTCGGTAGTCTGCCACAATTTGAAAATCTACAGAATAGGCATTGTTACAACTTGTTGCAATACTACCAGATCTGATCTTTCTTTCTTTCCTTTGTGTGTGTGTGGGGGGGGGTATATGAAACTTGTTTGCTAAGCATGTGTGACAGATTTCATGTGTTTTGCATAAAACCTAACTACTCACAATCCAAATATGACTGCTAATCTATGCACACTAAGCTGATAACGTGTTGTTACCAAAGCATAAAGATTCAGTTCAAATGGATCTTGATGCACCACTCTGCATGAGCAGTGCTAAGACTCGATAAGCTTGTGTGTATTCCTGAGAGATCCCAACAAATCAATAAAGTGCGTGTCTGCAGAAACCGATCTAATGTTCACTTGATGAATGTCTAATGATTCAACTGAAATACCATTCCACCGTATTTCAGTTACATGATTTAATTGGAAAACACCGTCCATTCTTTCTTTCTTTTCTTTTTTGGAAAAGAGAGGATCTCTGCTTTTATCGAAAGTAAAACACAGTCTGTTCATGACATGCATTTTGTACTGTTCAGCCATACACCAACACTACGGAAAATTGTACCCAAACAATAGCCTATAAGAAACAGGATATGGAATCTAGTTACATAAAAATTTGAAACCAAACATAAAGCGTTCAGAGTTTATGGGTGATGGATACCTCACAGTAGACAGTAGTGCATCATGCAACAGAGCTCAAATAAAAACAGCAAAGTACTCTGATATTTCAATGTATAAAAAAGATATACCTCTTTCACTTGCTTTTCAAGGCACTGGAAGTTGAGATTTGCTTCGCTATGATAATCCATCACATCACTTCGTAATTCTCCAATGGACCTTTCCAGCTTATAGCAATATAACTCCAATTGTGACAGCCTACCGCCGATAACTTCCAGAGAATTCAATAAGTTATCTGCTTGTTTCTTCATGCAGCTTTCTATAGCGTCTGTCACGATTTCTTTAGAAATTTTTTCTTGCTCATGGAAATTAACAAATGACATCAGCAGTCTGTTCTCCTGAAAATCCTGATTCATTGGGATAATAGACACATTAGATCACATAGGATGAACATAAAAGTTTAGCATATAAGATGGACAATCTCTCTTGTGCCTAGTTACAGAGAACAGAACCACAACAACTTCACGTATCACTGCATGGCACCTAAGGACAAATCTCCTTAGGAAGCGTTGCCCCTGATTGTCATGCTACCCTAGTTGTAGCAAGAGCCCCAGGAATCTGAAAAGTCAGCTAACAGAAACGAGAAGTCTCCACCCGAAACTGGTTAACTCGTCCACTCCTTTTACTCCAACGGTCCAGAATAATCAGGAAAACAGCAGAACCAAGCGTACCCAAACCCTACGCTTCAGAAGCGGCTAATGAACATCCAAATCCGCAGTCACACACAGGCAACAGACGATAACCCCACAACCATTGGCACAAATCAGAACAAGGCAGCAAGGTGCACCCCCAATCCCCGGCAACGAGCAACGAACGAACCGACCGCTCATGTCAACGCACCACGCGCACACGAAACCATTCCACAACCGTTGGCACAAATCAGAACAAGGTGCACCCATCCCCGGCAACGAGCAACGAACCGGCCGCTCTTGTCAACGCACCACAAGCACACGGAACCACTCGTTTCGGAGCCTGGACACCTACTACTGTACTCCCTCAAGCCCAAGACAGCGTCAGGCGCGGAGATCTCGATCGGATAGATCGAGAGGCGGGCGGGCTCGTACCTTCTGCCGGAGCGCCTGGTCGAAGGAGCAGCGCTTGGGGTCGAGCGAGAGGCCGAAGGCGCCGGAGACGGATGCGGCTGCGGGGCGTGCCGGGGACGCCATGCTGTGCGGCGGTGATCGGCGGCTGCGCTAGGGTTTCCTCCGGGGCGGCTCTGCGGTGGTCAGAGGATTCGCACGGGAAGGGAAGCGAAGGGACGACGAAAGGGAGGAGGAGGCGTGGGCGAGGAGTGGAAGCCAAGAGAAAAGAGGAGTAAAAGCGAAAGAAGCGTTCGAAAAAAGCGGTGCAAAGCGAGCGAGCGGTCGGGCTGGTGGGCGCGGGGCGACTGGCGAGTTCCGGTCCGGGGGCGCGGAGGAGCGCGGAATAAATACGGCGGGGTGGTGGCGCCGTGCCGTGGACCCGTGGTGTGGTGGGGGGAAAGGGAAAGGAGAGGGGGTGGGCTCGGCGGCCCGCGACCCGAGGGCGGCTGCGTGCGAGCCTGCCTGCCTACGCCTCTGCCCGGTGCGGACAGCGGGCATCCGCGCGCCGCTCGCGTTGCCGTGCAGCCGAGACGCTCGTGATCCGCGCGGGTCAATGCCATGCCGCCTGGTTTTATTGCACCGCACGCGAGGCGTGAGGACTGCGTGTGGCGCGGCCGGTGGGCGCGGGGACGCGGACGGATCGCCTGCCGCCGCTGCGATCGCCGTACGGGTACGGCTGGCAGTGGCAGGTACGAGCACCATTCGCCGGCGTGTTTCACGACTTGCAGTCATCCTGGTTGTCCAGCCTCCGGCGGATGGCCGGTGGAATGGCGGACGGACACGGCACCCCCGTTCTCCACGGATCGCCTAGTGTGAAAAGTTGACGTGGATAGGAATGCCCTCGCCCATCACCGCGTCCTAATCCCGTGCGTGCGACACTGTAGATCATACTAGTGGTCTTCGATCCTGATCGGCAAGTCGTGGTTTGCAGTTAGACCCGTGTACCATGCGTTAGTGTCGGAATGACATCTGGTCGTTTTGGCTCCGGCGGCTTCTGCGTCGATCCGACCTGCACTGTTTTGACAGCAACGAGGCAGAGTCACAGAGACGCGTTCAAAATAGACGGGCAGGGTGTATTGACAGGTTGGCTGCCGAAAGAAAGGGCCCAGTTGACAAGTCAATGGTATCCCGTTGCTTACCAAAAACCCAACTTGTGTCCAATTATAAATGGACTAGTATAAGATATACTGCTGCACTTCCATGTTCCATCAAGATTTTTGTCATCGGCCTGTTTTTCCAAACCCCGGACGTTGATCTCCCGCCCGAAAGCTGCAGCTGAAAAGCATGCCCACAGGCCAGGCCACACGAAACCAAAAGAGAGAAAAAGACGGCGTTGCGTTCTGGTTTCTGGAGGATGCTGCCGGGACACGTAGCGGCACCGTACATGTGGCTCGGCTCTGCGGATAGGCACGAGGACGAGGGCGAAGCGAATCTGGAAGTGAGATGTCACGCTGACTTGGATTCGGTAAGAAACGGGGGGTTGGTGGGTGGCTGCCGGCTCGTGACGTCCCCTCGCTGCTCCGCCACACGAAAACCTCTGGTGGTCTCTGCTGGGCTGGGCGGGCACGCAACGGGCGTATTTTTTGATAGGGTGTGGGAATGGGGATGTGGCTGGCGACGCCCCGGTTATCCCTTTCGCCGGGCCACACAGTGCAGCATGCCGCCACCGCCCACCAGCAGCGGGGGAGACATGTGCGCGACGGGGGAATCCTTGCACGGAATTCGGGTCTGATTTTGTGCTCGGGGCAATGGACAAGAGGGGAAACGCATGGACAATTGGCCATGGCTTACGACTTGTTAATTTTGTTACGAGTGGCAGTGGCCCAGTCAGTGCAAGTTGGGCGACGGTGACCCGCGCTCGCTGGGCGTACGATGTACGCGTTCTTCTAGTTCTCCCTCCATCCGAATAAAGGTCTGAAAAGAGTCATTTTCGTATTTTATTGAGTCTCGCTGGGCGTACGATGTACGCGTTCTTCTAGTTCTCCCTCCGTCCGAATAAAAATACTACTCTATAATATTTATAAGGCATAATAAGTATTATCGATTAATCATGAAATATATTTATCGATACTATTTTCAACAGATCTAATTAATTCTAAAGAGTTTGACTTAATTTAAATCTAAGATTGCCTTTTTGAGACAGAGTGATGATGTTTTGAGACAGTGATGACGTTGAACAAGATTTTTGCGAAAAAAGAAGAAGAATCGGGTCTTCATGTAACACGTGAGTCACATTTATGTGGCTACTATATCTAGTCTAACGCTAACGGGTGTGAGTTCGCGTGGACCGCATGGACCAATCCTGATGCACGGACACGGCCTACTAGCTATTATGATGTTCATATACGAACGCGCCATGCCCTCGTGCAGCTGGTGCAACCAGGTCAACGCCGTGTTTATTCAGGTACGGGCGTTTGAGCGTAAACAGGCTTCCTTCCATCACAGGGCTCTTGACAATTGACATTGTCGCCGAGGCTCTCTACAACGTTGATGAAATGAAATGCACACAGCTTTCTCACGCGTTTCCCTACCCTGCACGCAAATACGTGAATGAAGTACTAAAAAATTCAACGTGCCGATTTGAAATGGTCTCATCTACTTTATCGTAAAGTTCAAAATGTCAATTTGGCTGAAAGAAACATGGTTATTGGCTGATTAGAGATAGAAAATGACGAGGATCAATCGTTTTCGTTTTGTCAAGTAAAAAATACAGGATTAGTTGACAAGAAAGCACAAACAAAAGACAAGAAAGCAACCATGCACTAATACCGGAGAATCCTGAAGAGCTGAACTGCTGAAGATTGAAGAAACGAGAGAACAACTAGTATGGACGAATTAAAGACACGGGTTGGGCCGCCGAAAACTTTGCGGCAACATGGCCTCTTTGTGCTAGGACGATTGAGGCCCAACAAGGAAGTGGGCTGCGGCCCGTGACGTCGTACCTGTACACACCTCGTCCTCGTCAGGCTCGGGTGTGTGTTTGTCTGACAACCTCGATCGTGTCAGTGTTGTCTGCCACTGCCAGAGCTCGGCGCGCGGATCTAGGGGCGGGAGCCGTGCCGGGGCGGACGCCGCGATGCCGATCTGCGCGCCGTCGTCCGACTCCTCCTCGTCGTCGGGCTCGGGTTCCCGTGTGTGGGTACTCCACGGACTAGCGCTCGGCGCGGCGGCCGCGGCCGCTGCCGCGGCGTACCTGTACCGGCGGCCGAGCGGCTTCCGCAGCCGCGCGGTGGGGATCATACCCGCGCTTCGCCTCCACGCGCTTCGAGGGCAAGCCGCTCGTTCACATCCTCGGCAAGCCCATGATCCAGGTTTGTCTCCTTCCTACCTTGTCTCATCGCATCTTTCAGAGAGAGCTAGGGGAGGCTTGCGGTAGGTAGGTAGAAAATCAATCCGGGGAAATTGTACCTGCAACTCGCGGCTGGGACTGCGAGGGGAGGTGGGAGATCGAGTCGAATTGTGCTGTTTCCGATTACAGTGAAGTAGTGAACTACACAGTAGCTGTTCTGTTGGTTACTGAAATGTTGTGAATCGTTATGTCGTCCAGACTTCATTCCTCACAATTCAATGTTTTTTCAGTATTAGAAGTCAAGCTTGAGTTCAACGAATTTCGATTTGATGGATTTTGGAGAAGGGAAATGGTATTAGCTGTTAGTTTTAGCCAGTTTTAATTTCTTGTCTGCGATTAATCCGGCAATCTGTATAATTCCTACTGCACCTCGTGCTGACACTTTTTTATACTGAATACAGAACTAATGAAAGTGTATCATTGCTTCTTCAGATCTGTTACCTTTTTTTTACTTCTTGTTTTCGTGTTCAGTTAAAAATTCGTGTGTTTCACACTTACAGAGAACATGGGAAAGAGTGATGCTAGCTTCTTCTTTGGACCATGTTGGTAAGCCCAAGATGGCTAATAGTAATCATTGATTGGTTTCATTTGCTTATCATGTTCACACTTGTGCCTTTTCCGCCCTTAGTTGTGGCAACGGATGATGAGAGAATTGCAGAATGCTGTCGAGGATTTGGAGCTGATGTTATAATGACATCAGAATCTTGCAAAAATGGTACTGATTGTGTGGTTTTATAGTTATATTATCTTTTCATGATTATGTGGTAGAACAGTAATGTGTGTGTTTATTGGCATTTGCTTGATAACATAGGATCTGAACGTTGCTGTGAGGCACTAAAGAAGCTTGAAAAACGTTATGATATTGTCGTCAATATTCAAGGAGATGAGCCTCTTATTGAACCGGAGATAATAGATGGTGTAGTTATGGCACTGCAGGTGGTACTTACATAACACTATCTTGATGTTTCTTGTACTTCTCTTCAGTTAAATAAAATGGTTCTTAGAATTAATAGTTGGGGACTATATCTTTTCTTTGAGGGTGCTCATGAAAATAATGCATTCACCATTCTAATTATTTTGCATGCTACACATTTAACATTTACCTTGGCCTTGTACACCTAAACACCCCGTGCCTTTGCAGATCTCTTGATCTCTTTTTATTGATCTTGTTTCTTTGTACTTCAAACATGTTTTGCAGCGAGCTCCTGATGCAGTCTTCAGCACAGCTGTTACTTCACTGAAACCAGAAGATGCATTCGACACAAATCGAGTGAAGTGTGTTGTGGATAATCAGGGCTACGCGATATACTTTTCAAGAGGGCTGATTCCATTCAATAAGTGAGGCACCAGTAGTTGTTTTAACTCTTCCATTGACTGTATTTTCATATGAAATCTTCCTGACTTTCACCATTTCAGATCAGGGAACGTCAATCCAAAATATCCGTATCTTCTTCATCTTGGAATTGCGGTATCTTATCTACCTTATGTTTATTTATTTGTATTTGCTTCATGGTCCTTTGATTAACCGACTTTCAGTTGACTAATTAATTAACTGACTATTCTCTCACGCAGGGCTTTGATTCAAAGTTTTGAAGATCTATCCAGAACTTCCACCAACACCGTTACAATTGGAAGAGGACCTAGAGCAACTGAAAGTACTTGAAAACGGCTATAGGATGAAGGTATTTTGGCATGGAACTCTAGAATCTATGAGATAGACAATGCCTGTTTTTTACTGCTCTGATGGACTTCGTTCACGATGAACTTGTACAGTTTGAATGCTACTGTTTTTCCAATATGTGCTGTAACATAATCTTTTTTTGTATGGTGCGTAAGCAGGTCATCCTAGAGCACTGACTTTTGTTTCCGTTTGCTTTTCGTAATTGTAGGTGATCAAAGTGGACCACGATGCCCATGGTGTGGATTCACCCGACGACGTTGAGAAAATGGAAGCACTGATGCGGGCGAGAAACATTCAGTAGAAAATGAAGAGAAAGTAAGTGCTTTGCATAGACTTTTGGTTGATGCCCATGGTGTGGATGCACCTGAGGACGTTGAGAATATCGAAGCACTGATGCGAGCGATAAACATCAGTACAAAATGAAGAGAGTTTTTGCTTTATTGCTATCGGCATAGGCTTGGTGGGAGACTTTTGGTTGTGCTATCCCGTTTTCTGAATAGCATGATACCAAGTGAAGCTGCTGCATCAGTTCTTGAAGTTTGTGCTTGCTAAGCTTTCACTCATTGAATTTGTCACTTGCATTACTCAATCAGCAGTTCAGCGCACTGGTGCATTGTATCTGTGCTTCAGGAGTTAGTAGCAGTACTTTCAGTCGTCCGCACAGTGGAAAACAAATCGTTTCTGCCGGAGATGAAGCAATTGGGCAATGTAAAAAATGGGTAAAGACCCATCCATGCCGTGTTGCGTGACTGATGTGATAAGATAAATACAACAACTCGCACTATCCTATGGGTACTCACACGGAATGTCGCATCCATGGTTAATTGGTCATCTATTGTATCATTACCATGGTATTAAAAGAAGTCACCACGTTTGCACTTAAGGGCTAGAAACCACCATTTTATGATATTCTATCGCTTCGCGCCTTCTCCTTTCCGTGTGATGGTTAGGCATGCAAGTGTGGGGCAGACTTGGTTGACGCAAACACTAACCGCTCTATCCAACTAATTTTCTTTGGGTTTTGGGTCAGCCCAACCCACCCCATCCTTGGTTCTAGTTCCACCAGAGAACATCAACGGACAATCATAAACACAAGGGAACACTAGTCCTGGTGCGCATACAAACAGAAATGAGCAAGTAGTAATTTCAGTCACCAAAGCCTAAACGGTGGCATCGCTAGACATTACCGATCCAAACAAAATGATGAAAAGAAAAGGGGCATCCCAAGGAACCCAGCACCGAACAAAAACGCAACTGAAGCACAGATGAAACGCGTTCTGAAGAACACAGATGGACACAGCTAACAGCATTTTCAGCTGTGTACCGTCTTCGGGTGGTAGAGGCTGGAACTTAGTTTCGTTAGGTAAAAAAACAGCGTTCGCAGCGCTCCGGCTCCTGTTAGTCCATGAAACCAACAAAAACCTATGGAGTATGGACTCGGCATAGCAGCATTGCCCTGTTCCAAGTCTTTGACTTGGAGGTCTAGCTAGTTCCTCTGCGAGTACTACCACAGTACCACTCCGTCCATCCCGTCGTGCTCGCCAGTCGCCAACTCCTTTTTCTTCTGCATCCTTGTGTGCAGCAATGGGTCGCGGAGGACGTACGCGCCGGCAGTGTCAGGGCGCGGAGGCGGAGCGTGCCGGCGATGCCGGAGGCCGCGCGGGTGTCAGTGTCAGCGATAAGCACTACGAGCCATGATGATTGGATTGGATTGGATTGGATTACACAACAACACAGCCAAATCAACACGATCCGAACTAAAACTTATAGTAGATCAAATTATTAGGTACTGTGTTTATATTACACTTTTGCTCTGTTCGTTTGGGTTATAAGCCATACTTTTTCAGTCAACGAACATTATTTTTCTCTCACAACAAATCAGTCAACGGTACTTTCAGCCATGGCAAGTGAATAAGGCAATTTATATTTTGGGTCATTGGGTTGATCCACTAAACTCTGCACTGCACCCGTAGTGATGGTTCAATAATTCAATTTCAGTGGTGCTGCGGATCAGGCCCGCCCGGAACTTCTCTCTTGGCTTCGCCCTCCGCCGTCGCCTTCACCGCGTTCCCCCGCCCAGCAGCGACCACGAGCGGCGCCGGCACCGGCACCGGTAGCAGCTCACTCGGCGGGTCTACGCCGCGGATCATCATGCTCGCCATTGACGTTTCCATGAAAGGCCCCGAGGTTACAATCACGGCGAGCACGAGAAGGCAGGCCTCATCTGCCAGCAGGAGGATGTAGTGATCATGTAGTACTGGCAGCTAATCTTGTGGTCTGGCTAGAGTGGCGGGATCGGATAGCTGTGGATTGCGATCGGTGAACTGAACTGCCCTTGACGATCACCAACGCTGTTTATATAGGGAGCGAGTGAGTGAGCTACTGAGCTGGCGAATGCGTGGTCGCGTCCATCGCAACGCATGCAGAAATAGCCGACTCGATCTGTGTGCTACGGCCTTCGAATCTCCACTGCGCACCCGCCGGCCAGCCGCCAATTCAGAGCGTCGTGTCCAAACGGTAGTGGCGAAACCATGAACCATGAGGGCCTTGATCGACGTTGTATACGGACGTTAACCATTATGCTTCAGATTGTCGTCTGCGATGGCATTGCTAATCTTAAATCTCTGTCTCTGCAGGAAACTAGAAACAGGCAGGGCGGCAAATAAAGCAGTCAGCTAAACTTGGGTGTTTGGTTCCACGAATTAAATTTAAGTCCCTGTCATATCGGATGTTTGACACTAATTTAGAGTATTAAATATAGATTAATTATAAAGCTAATTATACAGTTTGAGACTAATTTACGAGACGAATCTATTAAACCTAATTAGTCTTGTTTTGATAATATTGTGCTACAGTAAACATGTGCTAATCATAAAAGTTCTGCTGCTGTGTTTTAGAATATTGTATTTCAAGCAGTCTTTTAGTTTGGTCTCAATATCAGCCGTAACTGGGTTTGGATAATGGTTGTTCTCTCTACTCGTGGTCCTGTGGATGCTGAGGAAAAAGGGCTTGGTAATGAGCAGGCCTTCCAATACTGCATGAATCAACACTATTGGAGAAATGACTTTCGGTTCACACCTTTAATCTCGGTTGTATTTGTATTCGAGTTCATAGGCACTGAAGGCCTTTTCATCCCGGTTGGTAACACCAACTAAGACTAAAATTCACCCTTTAGTCTCCGTTGGTGTTACCAACCGGGACTAAAGGTCCCTACAGGTCAATTCAAAAGGAGAGTGCCCGGTATTTTCTCACATGTGGTGTGCAGTTGAGTTGGTAAGTAAGCTACGCGTGAGATACGGGACAAAAGATCTTGGCCTTTAATCCCGGATCCGCAATCCCGGTTGGGAATCCGGGACTAAAGCATGTTCCAACCAGGATTGAAGGCCACCTGTGTTCCGGTGCAAATCAAAGCAATATATGGAGCTCAAATGCTAAGCATCTATGCAAGTGTACTAGCACTGGACATATATGAATAAAAGATAGATGAACACCTTCTGTGTCAACTGTTAACTTTCTTTGTTCAGTGGAAATTTAGGCCATCTTTTCCCAATGCCTTGAATAGAAATACTATATCCAAAAGTATATGCCCTAAGGGCTTAAGGCAGTTCAGTGGAAATTTAGACGATCTTTTCCCAAGGACTTACTAAAGCTAACTTGCCGACAATCCTACACATCCATCACCCTTTCTTTTTCGCCGCAAAGCAAAACAGTATTACTTTTAGACCAAAAACCAGTTGGTTAACTTCCTTTATTTTTCACAGAATTGGTGACATGATCGACATGCATTGGATTATGCCCCACTTTAAATTGGGTTTGAGGAGGGTGATGCATGTACCGCATGTCCAGCAATGGTGTTCTCTGCACTTGTGCTTTTTTTGCACGCCAGATGGATAGTTGATAAAACTAATCCCATCTATAAGCAGACCACTTGGCTAATGGCCACCGCAATCAGATGCGCTTATCTTTTTTTATCTAGAATACGCAAGAGCATTACGTATTATTGTATTAAGAAGGTAGAAGTTTAAAATACAATAGAGACCGTTCCCGACCCGACAGTTACCTCAAAGGGACTATATTTTGACTATGACAACCTTGTGATCCATTGGGATCAACTAAGAATACGATCTAGCTGAAGTACCAGACCGCGCTGCTCCACCGGCCATCGCCCTGGATGCTGGGAACAACGCATCAAGCGCCTCGACATTTGCTTCTGATAGGGTGCCCTGAAAGTATGAATCGTACGAACGCTTGGCTACAGAGGAAATCGGCGCTGAAGGTGCCAGGATCCCCATCTTCTTCATGAGCAGCACTTCGCCACGTTTGGACGCCGGGATGTGGTCCATCTGCTAAGCAGCAATCTGTCTGCTCCTAATAGGCAGAGTAGTCCGCTTTGGTGCTAGCTTCTGCTTAGGCGGGGAGCTGATGAGAGGTGGTTGTCTCATTACCTGGACCTCCTCAATAAACCTAGACAGTCGCTTGACGGCCTCCCTCGGTGTGGGCATGCCCTAAGTGGTCAGCTCGTTGTTTACCTGAATGACGCCCGTTGCCGTGCCATCGGCCGCCTCAGCTTGCGGTCCGGCATCCATGCACTGGGCCGAAAGCACAGCCATGGTGTGTGCCTTCGATGGTGAGGACAGTGGGACCTCCGTCCCCTCCTGGTCGCCAGATGCGCCGGCATGATCAGCCTGTCCCACCGTGGTTGGCGCTGCATCACTGGTCGCCTCATGCCTCAGGGACGGACGACCGTCCTTGCCGTTGCCTGGGATGCCGGAGGGAGTGGTTGTTGCGCCGCGGGGACTGCTGAGCAGCCCTGCCTCCAGAACCATCTGATCTGAGGCCGGCTGCCCTCCAGCGATCGCCTCGCCAAGGGAGGTTGGGTCTTGTTCAAATCTGGGTGGTACCCAGCAGTCTGCGAACATAGGTGGCTTTGTTCCAGGTTGCTCCGTTGCGCCACGATGACCGCTAAGCAGCCCTGCTTCAAGGACCATCGGATCCGAGGCAGGATGTCTTCCCACAATCAACTCGAATGGAGAGGATGGATCTTGTCCAAAATGGAGCAGGGCCCAACAGTCGGTGATTTCGGACTGTTTCGCCGGCTCAACATCTTGGACAAGCATCGCGGTGGTCACATCCGTCTCGCTGGCCTCGCCGTGACTGCGTCCCAAGGCGCCTTGGGTGCGCTGCCCGGACCCCCTGCGGGAGTGATGCCGATTTGGGATGGCCTCATGGCCAGAACGATGGCGTTCTCTAGCGCCGGTGCCAACCCGGTTGTGGCCCGGCGAGCGCAGTCGCTTGCAGTCT